CATGAATACTGTTTTCGTCTGGCTACCATGTGTGCAACTGCAGACCTACCAGTAGGGTTTGTCTGCTGCTGAAGTTCAATGGCATCTCTGACTGTAGTTTCCATCGCTGTTGCAATTTCAGTTGCCTTTCTCACAGTTAGTTTATCCTCTGCAAGCAATCGCTTCTGGATACTACCTGTCCGCAACTCGATTACAAATCTGTCACAAAGTGTACATGTATCAGTAAGGTAGTCACCAAACTGGCAATGTTCGGCAAGTTTTATCAGTTCAGCCAAATAAGTGCTGACACATTCCCCCTCCTTCGGAAACGTTCTGCGTTTTCTGGGTTTCGAAGCAAGATGCGTAGTCGAGATTTGTATGAGTTCAGCATTTGGCTTCCAGATGCATTTATTTTGGCCAGTTCTCTTTTTCACTGTAATATTGGTCAATTCAACCGATGAGTGTCGACGCCATAATGTTTACCGAAGTTACACATGTATTGTGGCATGAAACAGGGTTGTTGATTTTTTTTCTTTTAAATAAAAAAAAAATCGGATTTTTTATTTAAATCAGATTTTTTTATTTAAATCTGATGTTTTTATTTTTATAAAAATTTGAGACAAGTTTGCTGATATGTCTATTCAAAAGCAAGCAAATTAGCTGCATGTGTAATAGTTGTCTTTTATTTATTTGTTTTGTGACAAAATTAAGCAGATTGGGATTGAAATTAAGAAATTAAAATTAAGTATTTGATTAAATTCACAAACCACCATGTCTTAGCCTTGGTGAAATGCATGAAGTATAACACTTACATGTACAGGCACATGAACCCGTAGAGTGACACTTCCTTCAGAGACAAGTACCAGTACCAATACATGTACAAATACCAACGATAAAGTGCATATCAGGTTTTAAACTGAACTCTACGGTAACTTTTGAACAGAGTAGAGTTCACACGAATTTGTTAAATAGGGTACTTACACATGCAACAAATGACTAAGGAGTGAGAAACATGAAGAACAGGTACATGTACATGCATTTATTTTGCATGCTACATGTGTAGGTACAAAATGCTGGTATTTTACCTTGCTCTTTGTGCAAAAAGCAGTTTCTTTTGTTTGTGATCCAGCTCCACTGAGCAATGATTTAGGCTTGATTAAAAATCACTTCATTAAGGGCATGAATTTAGTGGTTGTAGTTACACTATAATGACCAACATTTCTATCTCAATAAAATACATGTATACTTGTAAATATGTAAACAGTTGATGTACATGTACCAGGGGCAGATTTAACTTAGTTTATTTCCTTTGTACTAAATGCAAATGTCCACGCACTGTATAGGAGTAGCACCCCCTAGTCTACCCATCCTAAAGTTGTATTGTGCCCTCATAATTGTTTACTTGATGATGACTCACGCAACTGGACAGGCACTGTGGGCATGCTTTGAGCCCAAGTCTCAGTAAGCAGGTTGGCAGTCGGTGAAGTAACACACCTATTAAATACCAGTCAAGTTCTGCCCTGAAAGCTCAGACCTGCGGTGGACTTGGTAGTTAACAATTGAGTTGCATTGATCTGTAACTTTTCTTAGGTGCTGTGTTGGTTTTGTCGGTTTTGTTTGGTTTTGTTGGTTCTTGGTTTTTTCTTTTTTAGTTTGGGTTGGTCTTGTTTTAGATTGGTTAAGCCTTACCTTGATTCTGTTGCGGATTTACTTTGGTCTAGGATTGGTCTAATTTCTAAATTTAATTTTGGTCTTGGTCATATTTCTCCTACATTTTAGGTTTGGTTTCTACAATTCTCTGATTTTCGACCTAGTCCTGTTTTTTTAGTTCTCCAGTTGCATTCCTTTTTGGGGGATATTTCTTAGAAGAAATAAAAGATTTTGTTGTTGGAATCAAGTTTCAGCTTCCGTATCCCTATTCTTTTAGACTTCTTGCGACTCCTCCCTTTTGATCCTGTTGAAAGTTTTTTTGCGAGTTCCCCAAGTGTTTTATTTTCTTCAAGTCTCTTCTTTATTTTTTTTATTCTCATCTGAAGTGTACCATTTTTCCCCGTTACATACAGTACACTGATATTTTACCATGATGTTTAACCATGGAGAAATAACACAGGAGTTCAAAGTGCCCGAGCTATAAATTCTGGCCAATTACCACTTTCTGGCATGTCTGGTACATGTGCATCCATAGCCAGAGTACAGTGAATGCTTGCTACGCACCACCTATTTCACAACCATAAGCCCCCCTTGAACACCATGATCATCACAGCAATTTTCACTGGTAATCTGCATCCTTAAAACGTTGTGCACTGCAGTAGAAGTTGAATATTCATGTATCGATGGTGCTTGGTATGATCTGAAAACAATTTTTAAGAACTGAACGAAAAAATGTTACAAATTCTAAAATCTATGCACGTTATTTTTCGTTATCCAAGAGTTCTAGAAGCGCGCTATCATGGGTCAACTTTCAGGCTCAATACAGAGACCAATGAGGGGTTACACACATACCGGAACAGTGTACGTACTTGAACTTGTGAACTGACTTACATTTCATATGGCAATATACATGTACAATGTACATGTACATGCTGTTCACATGTAGAGTACATGTAGCACAGGGGCTACTGTGATTTGAAAGGCCCTTTTATAGCCTCCCTTTTCTACATGCACAAAGAGGGTGCTGTCTACAGTACTTTATAACCCACTAAATCGGCTGATTTATACATGTACATGTACCTATTAGATAAGTTTTTGCCAGCACCGGCTATATGTGCACTATTTTTCTTGTTATTTACAAGAAGTTTCATGTAATGAAATGCATGCTTTCATGGCATGAATTCTCATAGCTTCATAACATATGCAACTTACCCTCAAAATCGGGCATGTGCAGTTCCAAATTTTCCACTTAAACACAGGGATACAAGAATATATCAAGGGAGTCGTGGAGCTCGTTCCATGAGGTGTACCACTAAAGCAAGATGGGGGTAAGAGATTCATACATATGGACATGACTAATTTTTGGTCAATTACCGTCAACACACCGTAAACACTTACCCTGATATTACATATGTATAGTTGTGGGGTATTTCCTTTGTTCTCGTGTACAAAACTCCCACACAACATGGAAAAGTTTCAAATCATTGCCATTTCAACCAAATTCCGTTTTCTGGGTTGAAATTTCAACCGTATGTCCCTTATATAAAACACTTGTATGTACAAGCACACATAGTACCGTCAACATGCACAGCACCATCAACACACCATCAACTCCTCAAAAACATGTTTTAACACGTTGACTGTTAGGTATCATTTCAATGGGATGTTCCCATTTGCGAATCAGTATATAATTATATATAATTAATAGGTACCTTCAGGTGTCTGTTTGAACATGAGCATTTTACAAATGTCCACCCTCAACACTCTCAGCAGCGTATTGTCGCATTCTTTGGTGATGCCAGTGTACATGTATTTGATTCACAATACAATAGCCTTTCATTTCCTAAGACTGCACTCGTAGAGGCAGAATCTGGTACACCTGTGACTGCAAGTATCCACGAGTCACCATAATTTGCACACTTAGTACTTTGACCAAAATTTGTTCTTGCTAAACTACACTTTTATGGCTTGATTCTCACTAGTTGAAAGTTTGACTAAAATACTACATGAAATAATATTATGAAGAACATTGGATGTCAACAAAGTAACAGGAACGTCCTCTGCAAATGAGTCAGATGGGCTGTAGTAAAACTTACGTTACCATAATTCGGGAAAGTACGTTGCAAACGTCATTTTATGGAGGTATTGGTTATGTCCTACTTCTCAAAAATCTGCCAGTTAATCTCTCTTGAATGAGGAAATATTTTTGCATTAATTATTTTAGTTTGGCGATGCAGTTTGAGGAAAAAACTCTTATTTGCCATAGCTTGACTTCCCATCACTTTCTCTTTTTCACTCTCCTAGTTTTTAAATTTAATTATAAGTCACAGTGAGGCATGAATTTTCATTCTCTCAAATAAATCATAATTAGCATTAATATGAGTATTTAATCAGGATATTATCACAAAACTTCTCTTTGTATTTGTATTTCTGGAAAAAGTCACAAAATACAGTGCCACCAAGTCCGTGCCCGTCATTGGCAACGGGAATCTCAAAATATAAGGTGACAGTGCTTTTTCAGGGTCCGTTATTTTTTGGAACGCCATCAATAGTTGGCAAAAGTTGAGCAAAGTCATCATTCGTGCCTGAATCGGACGTCCAACAGCAATCATGAGCGAAAAGCTATCATTTGATCCATTTTCTAGACAATTTCAACCTGATCTTTTTTGTATTTAGTCTGAAATGTAAAACTTCATGGCTCTGCTGACTTTTTCCTAATTCTCACTGGAAAAGCTTTTAATTTGCACGTTGCTGCAAAAACAGAAATGCCAAAGTGAGGATTGATGAACAGTAAATTAACGTCAGCCCATAATTTCGTTTCAAGAGTTTCATGACAAGAGTTGGATGCACGAATATTTGTAAGTGCAAATTGGAGTACTCCATGATATACTCGTAGGCTGCATTCAATGTGTTAAATTAAAAGAAGCAGTATTCAACTGAATTATTTAGCAAAAGGACATTTTGGCTAAACCACAAAAGGTTAGACCCTTTAAAATTGCCATTTTTTTCACCAAAATTGCCTCTGCTGAACAGCTCTGAAATTGGCAACCACAATGCCTCAGGCATTATGGACCGTACCATAATTGCATCATGCTGAACAGGCGATGATACCAGGTATTATCCAATAAACCAACAGAGGGCGGTCACTACATGTACGTTATGAACCTGGCAGGGGACTGAACTAGAGCCGTTGGCAATGCATTAGATTGGGAATTCACTCGTTTTTTTCCTGCAAAAGTCTTTCATGGGTTTTGCTCATCCCCATGATCATTTATTCATAGCTTTAAAGTTGAAAATTTAAAATGTTTACATAGCTTTTTTTCTTTAACTTTTCTGTCATACTTGTATTTGCTCTATGTGCACACCCATACCTGAATGGTGCAGTCCAAGCTCCATAAGAAGGCAAAATGACAGTCAATGGTCACGCTGGTTAGAGATAATTTTTCTGTGGAGAAAAAAATCCATTTTTTTTAAATTGAAATGTAACCTCAAACTACTGGAAATTCTCATTTATCCCAAACATATTACAGTTTTCTGACTCTTTAGTTTATTTACAAGGTAGGAGATGTTGACGGAGTGTTGACATTTACATGTTCTTTATGTCCTTATCTATCCCTCTGGGAGGTTAAGTCATGTCAGAAAGAATCATGGATAGCAAAATCAAGGAAAATACACTCAGAGACAACATTCCAGTTTTTCACAGTTGTAGACAAGTTCTCAAGTTGTAGAGTGCACGTACATACAGGAAACCGAGCTGCGTGCACACACTACACATGTGCCATTTCCAGTGGACTGTTGCATGCCTGCTACATGGAGGCTGTGCCTGGTACCAATATCAAAAATGCAAAATACAGGACAAGGGCTTGAGACTAACCAGCAACCGCCCTGTTGGTTATTACTAAAATGTTCATATTTTTGTTCTGCTTTACATCTGGGTTTATGAACTGAGTTTATAAAACAACCTGTTATGTTGTAAGATTAACCACTTCCTGCCAGGGATTCCGGATCCGGACACATATGCTTTATATGCGTGGCCGGGGTCTCCGAATTCTGACCAAGGGAACAGGGCCTTGTAACAAAAGACCGTACTTGGAACAAAAGACCAGGCTGCTGGGAATTACCGACATTTTTTCACTCTCAAAAGTGGAGATAATCCAGCCTCGTTTTGAGACAGTATACCACGGTTTGGGGCATTTAGAGCAAGCGGATTACCACTGGGGACAAAAGCGCTCCACCACCACAGCGATGAGCCACCCAGCACTGCTGCATGCTAATCTCGCCCCTATTGAAAAGAGGTCAGCAGCACACTGAGCCAGGTTCGTGAACAAAAGAAAGTTATATAACACCGCACAATCTGGGCTCTTTTTACAAGGATGCAGGACTGGCTGAAATACTCAGGTGTCAATCGATTTTGTCTGTCAGGCCAGTAGTACGGATAGGACAGTTCTGGACCACCTCCCCTTTCACCCCCTTTCACCTAGCCGTGCTGGCGTTTCCCACTTAAGTCACCTTGACCTTTTGACCCTGGCACACTTTTCTGTAAACAACTCGTGACGTGTGCCGGCCTGCACAGATCGCAAAACAACCTAGAACTTTTGACCCTGTGACTCTCAAACAAAAAAGGGACTTCCCCTCACTTTCCGGTCGCTACATGTCTAAATTTGCCTGTTATAACAAATTAGAAAAATTTTTAGAAACCTATATATAAATAGACACATGAACAACCCACAACGCAGGTCTCTACTATCGACCTTTAATCGATTTAAGAAGGCGTTTTAAGCAGATTTTGTCAAGCAGTATAACATTCCACTACCAGCACCCAAGCGTAACTTTCACACTAAACCTGAGCTCGTTGAAGCCATACGAACGGACCAAAAGCAGTTCAGGTACCTCCCGCGTCAGTCATATCGCCAGCTGTTGAAAACGGTTCAAAAACACAATATTCCTTTTCCACACAAAGACAGATATATTAAACAAGACTTTATTGAAGCGATTAAAGCTTACACTCAGCCTGAGAAAATTGCGGAAGTCGACATTAGAAACGTGAGGCGCTTTCAGGGTAACTACCGCAATTGGGAATTGATACCCCGTTCCTTTGAATACGACCTCATGCACTTTTTTGATTTTTACAAGACTTTCATCGAGAAGAAAGCGTTGGAGGAGTTAAAGGAACTGGGTTTTTACAAACTGCAAACAGCCCTGAAAGTGTAGTTTAGATTGAAAAACCCGAAAAAACTGACTTTGGCATATTCACCTTTCAGAGCGAAAATAAATTAGTTGCAAATACAGCCGACGTGAAAAAGGCACTCGCTGAACAGAGGCAAAAACAGATAGAGGACATGGAGGATCATACACAACGAGGATCGGGATGGATCTTTAATAAAGTTGACGCTTTTTACATCAACGTGGTGGGTGCGACTTACATTCCACTACCTGCGCAATTGGGGCACAAACAAGCAATCATAAGCGTCCAAAACAACGACCAGCAGTGTATAACATGGGCACTGAGAGCGGCTTTAAAGTTATATTCTGGCAACATTAAAAGTCAGTTGGAAACAAATCCAAATTACAAAATACATGACGAACGAACCTCGACTTACACAGAAGCAGATGGTCTAAATTTTACAAACATAAGCTTTCCAACACCCATATCTCAGATCCCACGTATCAAATCGCAAAACAACTTAACAATCAATGTGTTTGGTTACAACCAAAAAGATGGTCTTTACATTCTTTACAAAAGTAAGCGCTTAGGTGAACCGATCAATTTACTTTTACCCAAGGTGAAAAGAGTCACTATTGTTGGATTAAAAACTTTTCTCGGTTGACGGGTGATATCAATAAACACGACGGTCAAAAACACTGGTGCTTTAACTGCATGTCGCACTTTCAAACAGAAGAAAAGTTAAGCGGGCACAAAGAAGATTGCCAAGGGTTAGATGCGGCTCCCTGTAAAGTCGAATTACCCGCCGAAGGTAAAAACATTTTACAATTTGAAAATTACAAGAACAAACAAGACGCATCTTTTGTCATTTACGCTGATTTTGAGTCGGTTTTAGAAAAATTACCACCAATAGATACAAACACGGCCAAAACACAAATCCACAAAACCTGCGGCTACTCATACGCGGTAGTGAGATGCGACGGGATTTGCACTTCACGCGAGATTTACAGAGGTAAAGACGCGGCAATTAAATTTGTGCAGTCGCTTTCCAGAGAATTCAAACAAATTAATGAAATGTTTAAAAACAAAGAGCCGTTGCTTTGGTCACCTGAGATACAAAAAATCTACGAAAATTGTAATCACTGTTGGATCTGTGAAAAGCTTATCGGCAAGACTAAAGAATCTCAGTGTCAGTGCCCATTTCCAAATGAACCGAAGACAAAGGACGAAAAAGCTGAAAACAGTTCTGCAAACGAAGCTGGGTTTAGAGACTTGCTACGTATGACGTGTACAAAGCCCATCAACAAATTTAGAAAGGTCAGAGATCACTGTCACGTGACGGCGAAGTACCGAGGCCCCGCGCATGCCAGTTGTAATCTCAAATCAAACACCCATTCCGGTTATTTTACATAATCTCGAGAAATATGACGCGCACTTAATCATGCAGGATGCCCACTAGTTTAACGGGGAAGAAATAAAATTAATCGTTAAAAATACTGAGAACTACATCTCCTTTTCCTTTGGCCAACTCAGGTTCTTAGACTCCTTTCATTTCATGGCGGCTTCGCTAGATCGGTTGGTTAAAAATTGATCACCCGATGATTTTTAACTTACTTTGCGAAAGGTTTCTAGAAAATACAAATTTATTGTTGGAAAAGGGAATTTACCCTTACGAGTACATAGACTCCTTTGACCGATTTGAGGAAACAAACCTACCACCTAGAGATGCGTTTTATAGCGCTTTGAGACAGTCCACAGTGACTGAGCAAGAATACGCTTGTGCAGAAACAGTATGGCAAGCCTTTGGCTTTAAAAACCTAGGTGACTACCATGACCTACATGTATACGTGGACACGCACGTGTGATTGCTAGCGGGTGTTTTTGAGAACTTCTGCAAAGTCTGTAAACAGAACTACGGCCCTGACCCAGCTAACTATTACACGTCACCGGGCCTGTTATGGGACGCTCTTTTGAAGCACACAGGTTTTAAACTGGAACTACTGACAGACATAGACAAGCACCTGTTCTTTGAAAGGGCAAAAAGAGATGGTATCTCCAATGTGGGTGCAAAGCGATATGCAAAGGCAAACAATACGAGTTTACCCAACTACGACCCAAATCAACCGGAGTCACACATCATGTACCTAGGCGCCAACAATTTGTAAGGCTGGGCCATGAGTCAATCGTTACCAGTGGGTAAGTTTCAGTGGCTAAAAAACTTAGACAAATTTACTCCCAATCTCATTTCTAAACTTCTGCCAAATGACACGCGTGGTTACATGTTTAAAGTGACTTTAGACTATCCGCAAGACTTGCACGACAAACACAACAACTTCCTGCTGGCACCCAAAAAATATGTCAATTCCCAATGAACAGTTCTCAAGCTCCCAACAAAAATTAATTGACAACGGCGAGCAAGTAACCTTGGTAGACAAACTCGTGGTCACTTTAGGCACCAAACATAAATACGTAGTTCATTATCGCACATTGCAAAAGTACCTGGAACTCAGCCTTCAGTTAAAAGAGGTGCCAGTTTCTAATAACTGATTTGTCTGCACCGGTCTTTTTGTGTAGATGATCTACCGCGCTTTCTCCTCGCCAGTAGCCTTGCCGGCTGTAAAATAGTTTTTTAAAAGTTTCTTCCATTTTGAAATAAATTTACGCAAATCGATACGCTAAGAAACCGACTGAGGCCGTCCCACCTAAAATCCACCCAAAAAACTCACGAATTTTTTGATCCTCGGAAAGCGCGTAGAAATCAGACAATTTAGGTTCTGGTGGTAACGGCATTATATTTTTACAGGTCAATTCGCTGTAAGCCTGTAACGCTTCGTCCACGTTTACAAATGTTTGCTGACTCGCGCGTTCTTGTTGCATTCTTTCGTTCAGAAAGTCTAGCATGTGTACGCGGTTTTGCTCCCAGGATTCCTTCTGTTGCGCCAATTGCTCTAACGCAAGGTCATGACGCTTTCGCTCTTCGTCGACTTTACTTTTAGCTAGACTACCAAATAAAAAATTTGACCCTGTGAACGCTAACGCATTC